TCTGATAATCGATTATCACACTCTGATAATCGATTATCAAACTTCAGAGAGGGCTGACAATCGATTATCACATTCTGATAATCGACTGTTGCTCAGCTTTGTTACAAAAATCTGCAGAACGATGAATAATCGATTTTCAAGTTGATAATCGATTATCCATCGTCTTCTACCTCGAGCCAAATTGCGGAAATGTCACTTTTACTCACCAAACTTCAATTAAAGTATATAAAAATGTTCTCCAAGGTTCATGGATCATTTTAGCATCATTAATTCATAATTTTAACATCAATTTCATGGTTTATGATTCTTAGTTCTTCAAGCATGTCTAACACAAAACTCAACCAAATGACCATCTATGAACGTAGAATCGATCTATATGAGCATTCTAGTCATTAGATATATCTACGGGCTTACCTCGAAGCTTAACGGAGGTTTTGGAAATTTTCCGGCGATGTTTGTGGTTAGCTCCGGCGACTTCAACAACAATCAACAACACCAGACCATTCTCCTCACTCTCAGGATTTATATGGACTAATTTTGAGAAAAAAATGATGCATGTTTGAAGGTTTTGAGTACTCCTTATATAGGAGTTGATGAAGGGGAAGAGGACATTATTGAAATGCTTCTACGTAGGAATCGGCTGAGTGAAGGAGGAGGCGCCGTTCGCACAGTGTCCCTGATTGGGACCAATTTTGGTTCCAGTCGGGGTACACTTTTTGGTCCAACTTTCTCCGAATTGAATTCCGTTTACACCGTTGCGATCGGGCAGTTAAACTCTATCTAACGATATAATTTTTATATTTATTTGTAATACTTTTTCTGACATCATATTTTGACCTTAACAGAGTCAAAATTGGTTTAATTGACCTTTCTCATAAAAGGTTCTCTCATTTAATTCATATCAATTATTCTAATGATTTATTTTCAACAAATCAATTCAATATTTACATTCTAAACAAATTCTTTATTTACTCTTGATTTGGGTTTGTACTCAGGTTCCCAATCAAGACCACACAAATAGTCTACATATTGGATTTATCTCTATGAGACTTATCCAGATTTTGATATTAGATGTCAAAACAAATTTCGTATCGGCCTAAAGCCCAACAATAATTTATTTTAATCAAAACAAATTTGATTAATTGATTACTTATTAATAATTCTAGGGTATATTTTGGGGCGTTACAATTATACCCTCTCAAAAATACAATATAAACTTATGAATATGAGAGTATATAACTAGAAACACAAGCTCAAAGTGTGTGTGTAAAAATCAGGAATTTAAGGCTCTTGAAATAGCCAAAATATTGAAAATAATGAATAAAAGAATGAACACACTTAGAATATAAAGGGAGGATGTTTGGAGCTTTGTTTCTTGAATAAATATGAAGGATTAGGCTTCTATTTATAGTGGAAAAGGTTAATTAGTCGTTGGGAGGTGATTAGGATTGATTAAAGTCAAAATCACAGATCAGGAACAGTAACCCAACGGTCATACGGTAGGGGGTACCGTGAGTGGCGGTACCTCGGTACCGTGTAACACAGCAAACCAATCCGGTTCTGGCGGTACCTGTCCTCTAACGGTTCAGGGGTACTGTGCAGGCGGTATAGGGTACCGTGTTGATGGTATGGGGTACCGTTTGGGGCACCGTACCACTGTCCTACGTTTTCCAAAATTCCCTTAATCCTTTGTGTTTGAGTTTAAAACCTTTTAGATATTTGAAAATGTTTATGGGATGGTTTTAAACATATTCTGTGAGTGCTTTTGAGCTTGTGAATATAGGTATATAAAGTCATATCCTTACATTGGTTTCTACCTATATTCTACGCTAGTTTAGTGTTTCGACTTCATTCTTGAGTACCGAATCTTAATGGATTCTTGTTTTACCTGAAAGACTTAAACAAACGTTAAGCTCTTATATTGTTTGTTAATCATCAAAACACAAGGCTTAGCAAACCAACGCTGACAATCTCCCCCTTTTTTATGTTGACAAACAATATACTTCAAAGTGAGTTAGGCCGGAGTAAAATAATGAAGCAAGCAAGCTCCCCCTATGAATAATCATATTGAAAATACTCACTTTGAACTTTTTCTTGTGTTTATCAAAAGTTTAAATTTGATGCAAATAGTTACACAAGAAATGCACTCAAGTCAAGTTGCATATGCACCACTTTGAAGTATACATCTTCTCCCCCTTTTGTCAAAATCAAAAAAAGCATTTTTAAAATTTTAACCATGTATAACTTCTTGAAACCCTCCCCCTATCAAAATGAAAAATAATAGTTTGGAGATCATTGGGCAATAGGTGCATTTACAACAAAACTCCCCAAAAACAAAAACTCACATTGCCACTAATCCAGTTTTTCACGAACCACGAAGCATATTGAGATAGATTGTCACTTCGTTCGTGATGAGCTCTTACGAGGAGAGATTCATGCCCTTCATATACCTACTACGCATCAGCTTGCAGATATTCACACGAAGGCACTTGAGAAGTCACGACTGGAGTTTCTTATACCCAAGTTGGGCATTTCTTTGTTACATGCTCCAACTTGAGGGGGGTGTAAGAGGAAAGAGAATATGAGAATATTTGGGAAATAATTTCGTATATATTAGTTTTGGTAGTTTCCTTGTATAGGGATTTCTTTTCCTTTGTTAATTAGGATTCTCCACTATATATGTATGTCTTGATTGTAAATTGTACACACAGAAATAATACAGAGAATTTCCTCTATAACAACTCTTTCAGAAATACATTAACTTATACCTAAGTGAGAGAAGCATTTCAAGAACAGCTCCAAACTGAGAGCTATTTAAAATTTACTCCTAATAAGTAAATTTTAAACGGGTATCTAGGTCGGTCAATGTATGTTATTTCTATATTATAACATTTCAGATCATGTAGAATCACACAAAAAGTAATTAAACAATCTATATTTCAAATGCAATCTATATCACAATGTCACATTTCAACTTAAACATAAACACAAAACCAATTCAAATATATAGTAAATTAAATATTATTCTAATGCAAAAATATATAAACAAATAATAGTATAATTAAATATTTAAAGTTAAAAAAATTAAAGAAAATACCTTAAAGAAGCGACGACGGCGAGGCTGGGAGTTGACGAAGGCGAGGCGAGGCAGCAGGGAACGAGGCGGCAGCAACCACGGCGATGGCGAGGCTAGGCAACAACGGTGAACGGAGAGGGTGAGGTGGACGAGGGTGAAGTGGAGCAGGGCATGAGACGGCACGGGCACGGTGACAGCGAGGCTGGGGAGTTGACGACGGCGAGGCAACGACAACAACAACGAGGGTGAGAAGGATGAGGGCGAAGTGGACAACGATGATGGCAACAACGAGGCGCAAGATGGGGAGGAGTAGGGAAACGTCGAGGAACACAGCAAGCTAAGGAGTTGGGCAACATCGAGGAGCACGACGAAGACGAAGAAAGGGTTTGGAGGTTTTTTTGCAAAATCGCGCAAGGATAAGATGTGATTGGATGTGATTTATCATACTCTTTTGGATCGGTTATTCCTAATAACCGATTCAAAAGGTTTTTTGAATCGGTTATTAAGAATAACCGATTCAAATGCTTATTAGCTTTTTGGATCGGTTATTCCTAATAACCGATTCAAATAACCTTTTGAATCGGTTATTAGGAATAAACGATCCAAAAAGCTCATAAGCATTTGAATCGGTTATTCTTAATAACCGATTCAAAAGGTTATTTGAATCGGTTATTAGGAATAACCGATCCAAAAGCTAAGCGGTATGCGAATTTTTTTTGCCATTTACATCGTTTGTTTTGCTTACCGATGCAAATGGGAGGATTTATTTGGTCGTTTTTGTAGTAGTGTCCCTTGTAAAGTGACAGTATGTTCTCTCCATTGAAACTCCATTGTGGCGTTAGTATAGTCATATTATTAGCTTGTGTAAATATCTCGTCTGATCCTCACTAACGAGCCATTTCTTTTATGGTATGTTTAGGAACATGGATTTGGATTTGTCAAATCCGGATTTGGCTCAAATTTCATGTTTGAGAAACTTAAAAATTTTGAATTTGGATTTGAGTCAAATTCTTCACATTTATAACAAAGCTTAATTTGAAATTCGTGCACCTCCCCTTGTCATTTGAAATTTAAGATTTCAAACTTTGTAATTGAAATGCATGAATCGAAATGAAATGATAGTTACCAAACACGATATTTATTTTTCTTTATCTTATCATTCAGTGAACATGGCCACTCACGCCCTAACTCAAGCAGATTGTTCATCTTTGAACACCGGGGACTGGCTTCATTCCTCGTGTCCTTAGCTTGATCCCTCATTTTATAAACGGTTCATTAATCTCTTCATTTTTCCAAAAAAAATATCATGCCGCATAATTTAACAACTTAAATAAAGAAAGGGGTTAAAGAAGAAAATTAAAGTTCTTTAAAAATAAAAAAATAAAAAAATAAAAAATTAGTACTCCCTTTGTCCCAAATATATTACCTCACTTCGAACAATGCATAAAATTCTACTACGTCCGTCCCAAAAAGATTTACACATTTTGACTAAAGTTAAAATTAAGGGAGGGATAATTTTGTGTTGACTTTCCAAAAATACCCTTGATGTGATGGGTAAAAGTAGGATGTGATGTGTAGATTATTAGAAAAAAGGTATGATGTGATAGGTATGGTTTGAAAAAGTAAGGGGTAAAAGTGGTTTTTTAATAGAAATGGGTAGGAGATTGTGGGACGTAATTTTTTTAAAAGGTGTAAATCTTTTTGGGACGGAGGGAGTATATTTTTTAAAATTTCTTTACTTAAAAATTGGTATAGAAAAAAGTATAAATTATATATTTCAAAAATATATAAAAAATAATATAAAACAACGTGTAACAAAAGCATTTTATTTTATCAAATATGAAGTAATCAATAAACAAAAGATACCAGAATATCAGAATAGTAATTGAGATAATATTTTTAGGAAGGTGAGAGTTCAATAGTGCTCAAATAGATGCCCTATTACTTTTATGCACTTTTAATAACTTTTGTTTGTTTGTATGTTTACATTTATTATTTGATAAAATTAAATTTTCTTGTCACCTTTTTGGTTGGAAATTTTTTTTATGTACTTTTGAACATAAAAATTTATACTTTTTATTTATATTCCAATCTATAATTAAAATAATTTTTTTGGGAATTTTTCTAAATATGACTAAAACATAATGACTTTCCCTAAATATCATCATATGTTATTATTTTCCAATGTAGCACTTTTAATCATTATTCAAATAAATATTCACTTTCACTAGATATTATTCCTCCTTTTAGACATTATTAAGTGCTATTTAGAGAATAAAAAAGCTCAAGTTATACATTGGAAAATGAATTATGTTTAGTACTCCGTACTATTTATTGTAAGTATTTTTTTTAAATTGTGATGTGATTTTGTACATTGTTGAGAGATCAGAGATCAGAGTATCATATTGTTGGATGGAGGGAGTAGAAGATAAGGAATATAATAGTCCGTACTTGATTAGTCTTTTTTTCTTTATTAGCTAGCTAGTAATAGTTGTATAATTACAAAAGTTGCCTTGCCTTTCCTTTCCTTAAATTTCTTCCGTAATTAGCTAGACACAATTTGACAAATTGTCATCGATCGACAGCTTATTATATACTTGATGCTATAAATATACTCGTATATCACTATATATATACACACACACACACTTATTATTGTATGTGTATGTATGTATATAGGCATAGCTAAGAGTGTACTCGATCAATTGAAGATAGAAATATAAATCGATACATTGTTTTTGAATAGCTAGAATCATATATATGATGGATGGAGGAGGAGGAGGTGGTGGAGGCGGCGGCGGAGGAGGAGGAGGAGGGGTAGGAGGAGTAATAAAGAGTGCGTACATGGTGGTTTTGGTAATACAGACGTTGTATGTGGGGATGTACTTGCTCACAAAGTTTGCTTTCGATGACGGCATGAACACTGCTGTTTTTGTCGTCTACCGCCAGGCCTCCGCCGCCCTCTTCTTAGCTCCCATCGCCTTCTTTCTCGAACGGTAGAATATATATATATATACAGTAGTATAGTTCAATATATTTATTATCTTTCAATCTCCTTCGATTAATTAACTATACTAATATAATTATACGGTGTCATTTATTTCTTAATTTCTCTATCTATAACATGCAGGAAAACTTCACCCCGTCTTTCCTTCACTACTCTCATCAAGATATTTATGGTCTCCTTGTTTGGGTAATAATAACTTTTACCTCTTTATTTTTTTAGAAATTTTATTTAGATATGAAACTCTGATATTTATTTGAAGGAATATATTATTAAGAAGATATATATTTCGTATAATAATATATACATATATATGTGTGTGTGCAGGATTACGGCGACATTGAACATATATGGGGTAGCTCTCAAGTATACTTCAGCAGCTTTAGCATCGGCCACTACTAACGCCATCCCCGTTGTCACTTTCATACTTGCCCTTTTATTCAGGTTTTTTTTTTTGGCCCTTTGATTATTCATACTCTATTGACACCTTTCCGTGGTGGTGATATGAAAAATGGATCGGAGTTGGAATCTTATCACATCATCCTTTTTCCTCTTTTTTTTTTCAATTCAATTCATGTGAAATTTGAACTAAATTACACTAAAACATATGTCATTTATCAATGTAGTACTTAAACTTTTTAATTCCCTGAATAGTATTTGAATAATGTCGAGTAGCGAGAACAATCTCCAATGATGGTAGGCATTTACTTTGAATCATGTTTAGTGGCAGTGGACCTTAACTTGAACAATGACCATTGGACCTTAACTTGAACAATGACCAGTAGACATTGAACTGTGATACCACATTCGAAAATATAAACATATGATATCACATTGGGAAAGTCACTATGTTTTAATATTATTTAATTAAATTCCCCCTTAATTCATATGAATACAATATAATGCATAATAAAGAATATTTCCTCCATCTCAAACAAATTTTCGAAAACAAAAAAATGTGTGTCCTAAAAATTACTCCGTAGTAATTTTGATAATATTTTCTAATTATAAATCATATATCGTTGACATCATATCTTACTTTATTATAAAGCTAAGTAAGGGCAAAATTAAAAAATATTATCAAAATATATAAGTTGTACCCTTCCAAAAAATTATACAATGTGCAAAACATTAATTCTTCATCTATCTCATAAAAAGGTTTCAACTATAATTTGATGCAGAGATTAAGAAAATTAAAATGATGTGGTTGAAAGTATTGATACTATACGGTAGTGAAAGAAATTATAAAGGCTACAAAATTCTTTGCAATAATGGAAAGGAGCACTTTTTTTGAGATGGACAAAGAAAATATATACTCGGTATAAATTAAAATCCTTTTATGGAAGGAAGGGTATACAATAAACTTATGTGGTTCCATCGCATAATTCTCTTCTTATTTTCCTATTTAGGTCATTTCAAAATTTTCTTTCTATTTTTCTTTTAAAAACAGTCATGTAGTTGATATTATTTTTTTTTTCTACACAAATCACAACCAAACACATTTTACTTTTTTAAAAATTATGTCAATTCAAACAAGCAATAGAAGAAAATTATACTGGTAGAATAGAGGGAATAATTACTTTTATGCTATTTTTGGCATGAGGTTGATTCGGTGGCCTATTTTAGACTTTAGTGCATTATTCCGGTCAATATTCTACTAGAGGCAATTTTAGAAAGATTGAGTAATGCTAGATGGGAGAGAGGAAATAGAATAGAAGGGTTGAAGTGCTTTAAGAAAAAAAGGGAAAGAATAAGAATCCCGAAAACATAATGCATGGAGGAGGAAAAAACTACATTCTTGGAGTACCTTGAGTGCATATTATTTTTCTGAACTTTCTTATATAAAAAACTTTTTCTTTATTTTTATTTAGAAAAATAGATACGGAGCACTTATTTAAGCACTAAAAATTACTTATTTTACTCTTATATACGTCCATGGTGGACTTAAGCTCCACCATAGAATTTGCCAGGAACGAAAAGGTGTTTTTGCAATTAATTTTTGAGTTGTGCTACGACTAAGCTAATTTTTGTATCCCAATCTACGCTAACTTTTTTTTACTGTCTCAGACAAACGAGAATACTTTTTTTTGGTTTTTGATAAAAAAAAATTATTTATTAAATTAAAAATTATGTGGATAAAAATTTTTTTTGACAAGTGAAGCCCACCATTTAAAATAAGTGAAGAAAAAAGAAATCACCATAAATAGAAGTAAAAATAAAGAAAAAGTACAAAAATAGAATTTCAATGTTTTAATTCTTTAAATAAAAGTTCGCATTATGGTAATATGTCACTGTACATATACATTTTACTATTGTTTTTAGTATTGTACATGGTCATGATTGATTATGTACATCTATTTTAACTCTTGTTTCAAGAATAGAAATACAAGGAATTCATATTTTAGTATATTTTCAATATTTTACTCTTATTTTAGTTTTTTTAAGGCAAAAACACATAAGTTGTGAAGAAATATTTAAAAAGAAAAGTGATATGACATGAGAAATAATTTCGGAGTAAATAAGAGAGAGCAGCAAAAGTAAGAAAAATATGGTTAAAGTTTCTCTATCTCAGCCTAAAAGTAATTATAGAGTTTCTTTTATCATTTAGGCACGTGATCGATTTGTTGAAAATGTGTTAATATGAATGATCACAGTCTCTGAGTCTTATGATTTTTGCCAAGGATGCTCTAGTCAAGAGAAGTTATGTCTAAAAATTAATTTCATATTTTTCCATTTTTCATTATCATGTACAAAAAAAATAAAAAAATTAATTATTGTATCCATGTTTTCAATTAATCCAATTGATATTTACTACCCCATCATGTTATTCTATAAATATTTTTTAAAAAAAAGTTACCCTAAATAATTTAAAATACGTAGTATAAAATTTTGAGTCAAATTCATTTATGCTCTTGTTTTTAGACATTCAAATATAATATATTAATTTAAAATACAAAGATCTTCGCAGCAAAATTTTGTGCTCTTGTTTATTCCCAGATATAGATCTAAATTCGCGCAATATTTGAGCACTTACGAGAGAGAATAAGGAAAATAGAGCCATATGAAAACCTCGTATTCCAAATTCCACACGATCAAAGTAGTTTTAAATTATTAATCCACACGATCAAACAAGTACTCCGTAATTAAAAAATATTTTCTAAAGAAATACATCTATATTTAAAAATAATATCTTATTCAGTATAAAATTAAATTTCCTTATAAAAAAGACAAAATGTCAAATAGAAGTACATATAAATCATAATTTATTTATTTTATTAATTATTAGAGTACAAATATGGATGCAAGTGCACGAAAGAGCTAAAATTTTATAAAAATACAAATACAAGTCAGTCTTAATTTTGTAAATAAATAACATTATTATTTGTATATGTATTTCAAAATTACTAGATAACGACAAACTTTGTACCCAACTTGCTGCACAACAGTTTGAGATACAAAACGATAGATATACCTAGCTTTTGGATTTATATTTGGATCTTACAGCAATAGCTTTACATTTTGTTTTCAATAAAAAAAATAGCAACACATTTTTAAGAAAATGTGCGCCCTAAAAATGAATGTCCTATTATTCATTCAATATGACTACTTTCTCCAAGCCTAAATGACCTTTTGCATTTATATTTTAGGGAATTAAAACTTGATAAGTAAAAAGTTAAATTTTTAACCATATATCGTTTCCTTAAAAGAAAGATGAGGATAACTACTTTAGTAACGAGGATGTTCCAAGACATAGATACACCACATTCCGGTTTAAAGGATGTTCCAAGACATTTGTGAAAAACACTTCCATAAACAGCTCTCCACTACACGAAAACATAGGAAGTGCCATGAACTTTGTTTTAGTTTATCAAGTAACATATTGTACTCCATTAATTTGAAATTGAGCAAAAACCCACAAACTCCAGGTTGGAAAAGGCAAACCTAAGAACATTTAGTGGGATTGCAAAGGTGGCGGGCTTAGCACTGTGCACCGGAGGAGCAGTAACCATGGCACTCTATAGCGGACCAACTTTCAAGCTGCTTCTACACCACCACCTCATCCCCCACCACGACAAGAACCTCGAACACGACCCCTCTTCTGGCAAACATTGGATCAAGGGTGTCCTTCTCATGCTCCTCTCCAACTGTTGCTGGAGCTTCTGGATTGTCGCCCAGGTAACACAAACATACAAAACAACCTTAACTTGTTCAATCTTCCTTCCTAGAATGCCATAATGAATAATTGCACTCCATTTCTGGTTAACAGGGCCACATTGTTAGCATCTATCCATCCAAACTTATGAACACAGCACTCCAGTGCATTTTCAGCACCCTTCAATCGTTTATAGTGGCAATTGCTCTGGTGAGGGACCCCAGGGAGTGGAAGCTTGGGTGGAACATCAAACTACTAACCATTCTCTACTGTGTCAGTACCAATGCATTTTTTTATAAAGCTTCCACTTCTCTCGTTTCCCATTGAGATTTGAATTGAAGAGTATTGCGTTGTGACAGGGAGTTGTAGTGACGGGTTTCACATTCTACTTGCAAGCTTGGGTGGTTGTGAAGAAAGGGCCGCTCTTCCTCGCCATGACCACACCTTTGAATCTGCTCATCACCATCTTTGCCTCTGCAGTCTTCTTGGGGGAGATCCTCACTCTCGGAAGGTAAAACCCAGTCAAGTTATTCATCTTTTCGTATTCAATAACAAATCATCAATTGAGGCTAACCAAGCTCGTGCAGCATCATAGGAGCAATCTTGCTTATAGGAGGGCTCTACAGTGTGTTATGGGGCAAGAGAGAAGAACAAAAAGAAGAGAATACCACAAAGGTTGCTATTGAAAACAATACAAGAGACATTGAACGCAACCCAGAAAGCAATGAATCCGGCCGTGGAAAAGACAATGCAAGAGTCATTGAACAAAACTAAAGACAGTTGCTTTTGATTATCCAAAAATGTACTCATTAGACTAATTAAAATATTACAACTACCACCATTTACTTTATTTTCATTAGGAGTATTATGGTAAACTCTCTTTAAAAATCACAAAAAATCAAAACGAAGAAATCTTAAGCGGACGGAGGGAGTAGATTTTAAGCAGTGTTTGTCCCTAGTTTTAAAAACTCTTGCTCAGATAAATAAAGATTCCACTTCATATATATATATATATATATATATATATATATATATATATATATATATATATATATATATATATATATATATATATATATATATATATATATATATATATATATATATATATATATATATATATATATATATATATATATATATATATATATATTCAGTGTGTAAGATATTTGCCACAACGCGGATAGTCTTCCTCGTTGAGAATTCACAAGGAAGACTAGAAAGACAAGGAGGCAAAATGATTGATGTAGCTTATGTTAATAATGTTAAGTGCCGCCGTGAATACATCTGAGCGGCACTTGACCGTCCATAAGCACGATGCAGTAAAATCAATGAAATAAACATTCCGATGGTTAGAGCCTCGGAGTTAGAGATTCTCAGCACGGCCATTCAGTCCCGAAAGATGGTGTTTTAATCTGAGTTTCTTCACCGGCGAAAACTCATCGACAAAATCGAATTTCGAAAAAGAAAGAGAGAATGTGCTTATCATGGCCGTGTCGATGAAGCAATTGAAATGCACCCAACGAAGATGAGATATGACAAACTGGGATCCTAATCGACCGTTGATCTGCGACGATATGTCAATACCGAGATATACAAGCACCTAATTGCTTGCCCCGGCGTGAATCGTCGATAATTAATAAGCGTAAATGATAATCACACTTTGATGCACATACAGAAACAAAAAGGAAGACAAACGTCGGGAAGCGGGAAAGGCAACTCGCCGGAAAACCCGAGGGCGAGTAACTAGAGTCGCCACCTTCGCCGGAAAACGCAAAACACGTTGCTGTTAACACAGCTGAATGATGATGAAGGCTGAAGCTGCGATGAGCAATTTATATGGGAGGAAATTGAGGCGGTTTCTAGGTTAGGGTTAGAAATAGCGGGCCTCTATTCTCTGGACGATATTGGCAACAATTATACTTGGGCTTCTTTGCCATAGGGACGGCACTTCAGGAAATTAAAAATATGAAAAAACATTAAAGTGGAGTAAAACATTGAAAGTATATATCAAAATAAAAGTTTCATATTTTTATTTTCGAAATAAGAGTTAAAATATATTTATATTAGCAATTATAACCGTGTACATAACGTAAAATGTATATGTACAGTACCACATTACCACAGTACGAACTCATATTTAGAGAAAAAACATAGAATTCTTATTTTGGTACTTTCTCTATTTTTTAGTCCTATTTAATGTGATTTCTTATAAAATTAGGACCTAAAACTATACTCCCTAATATTTTAGAAATCTCACAAATTAACATAAGTATAAACTCATTTTAAACTTATCACTAGTGTTAACATCGTGATTCGCATGGGCTCGTATATATTCTAAATTTTTGAGATTTTATAAATATAATTTTATTTGTTTTAGTTTTCTAATAGTGACGAAATATGTTTTAAACTGTTGAAATATACATTGGTATGTTAATTTAAAAACAAACAAATTCTACAAAATTAATGGTCATTGAATTAACACTAATAAAAATAGTTTTATATAATAAAATATTTTAATAAAAAGTGGACTAATTACATAATGATACGTCATTAGAGAATGTATATGTATCATAATGTTACTTGTCGGTTGTCACCCTTCAATTAAACCAATTTTATTCTATTTACTTTATTAAAAAAAATATCTAGCAATAAAATAAATAATGTAATAAAATAAAATTTTTGAAACAAAGTATTTAATTGATAAATATTCATATGTGATTAAATTTATATAATAATTTTTTGAAAAATAATAAATAAACTAAAATAAGTTGTGGATAGTATAAAAATAATTATATATACATACATACATATACATACATATACATATATATACATATATATATATAATATGGAGTATATTTTACAATTGTGAAATATATATTTATTAAATTATTAAAAAAAATAAAAAAGTTTTATACAAATGTATTCAAAGATCTTTGAAAAAAATCTAAATGGACCAATGAATTGAAATGCATATATCCACCTCATTAGTGCTTGCACATGTGGATGCACATGTGACATGCCACATGTCAACACTACAACAAATAAACTCTACTTTACATATATACTAGTATTTTGACCCGTGCGATGCACGGGGTCGAACAAAACTGTTGTCGATTTTAAAATTTTTCAATGAAATATTTATTCCAGAATCAAGTAAATATATTTCTATCACAAATTTTAATCAATGGAAAACAACGACAAAGTAGAATATAATATTTGAGAAATTGGAAGTGTACTCGAAAAAATCTTTTTTAATTCCTAATTTTCTGAAAGACTTTAGTGTAGACAACATTTTGTGTATCGTTGTAAGCGTTTTTATTTTCATCTAAAACCAATATTTTTAATCATGTCTTTTTCTTTACTCGTGAAACAGTAACATAAAGCTAACCATGAGTGAATCCCGAATTGGTTAAAAATAATATAGCAAAGGACAATTTTTGACATTGACTTTTGTTTATAGTCATAGCAAAACATAAAACTATTATATTGAGAATTCTATCAGATAATACCAAATTTTATTCAGGGTATGTAAACCTTTTTCTCCAACGCGATTTCTCGAAACATCAATTACATTGATAATGTTCTTTCACATCTCTTTAATGATTAATCTTTTACCATTACACAATCCATATATTTGGTCAATGTTCTTCAATAACATAATCGGTACCCTCTTTTAAAAACTATTTTATGGTTTGAATCCCCTAACATTTGATTTCATTAAGAAGAATTGAATTGTTATCTAATCGTCTTCAACAACTACATCTAAATATGTTTGGCATGAAGAATGAGAACTTAAGTACTCTTTTTACCTCTTAGAATAAGGGATATGACAAATTCATTTGTCATTTAACAAATTCGATTGTGGGTGCTAATAATGCACTATCATCAAAAAAAGAATAATTTTTCATGTTCTCTAATAGGTTTGGATAAGTAAAGTCCACTATACTCTTGAGGGGGTAACTTGTGTAAGCATCAAGAATTCAAGCGGGATTTCAACGTCAGCAATTTCATCGATCACTTGTCCAAGTTTTCCATCTTTGACTTTGCTTATCAATACAGAAAAAGATTATGTGTCCCTATCAGTGCAAGAGCGTGTAGATAAATGCAATCTCATATTCTTAGCTAACCTATAAACTTTACATTACAATCACATTTGTGAGAATTGGTGGTAGCACCCACAATTTTTTTCTCTACGCTATGAGTAGACCTGAAAGAATTTGGATAAAATCACTTCCGAGTATAGCTGTTTTCCCTCCGAATGGTTCATTTATGAAGTTATTATTAAAAAATCTCATTACATCTCTCATTTTTCCGAAAAAAATTAGTGGGTGACTCATGGCACTTTTCACTAATAATGTGACAAACAACTTTTTTAGCAGATTCCCACATCTTGACTTAACAACATTTTTCATACCTTCAATAAATTCTCTATCATCGGTTAATAAACTCAATGCTTCACATTCTTCCTTGAATGCATTATGTAGAACATTGTTAACTGTCCTCAAGCGCTTATAATTTGTACATCCTTGTTGGACATTTAATACTTTTCAAGTAGTATAACTCTCTAGTTTCTGTAAGCACGTATTGTAGTCTGCCTATTGACGGTCGTTGTTGCCTTTGAACTATTTCCGCACTTTAATTTGTGGTTGTACACAAAATGTTCTTGAAACTCTTTGCATACGTCAAATTTTATCCCGCATTATATTTTTTTATTGAAAATCATCCAAGCTTCAAATATTTAGGCTTTATCAATAATTTCTTCGACAACATCTTTTAGTTTATTGTTGGTGTCTAAAGGTTACGAATTTTACCCTTGCGTTATAAAAATTCAATCTCAGTACTGATCACTACCTTTGTTGTATATCAAAAGAGAGGATTATCCAAGAGGCTTCACATGCAGATACGTAATGACAATCAGCTTACTTATTTGTTTCATAATACACCATAATCCTTTATATATATAAATGAGACTCGGAGCTCTAAGAACATGACATTTGGCATATTGAAAGCTTGACATGTGGCGCATTAGGAATTTGACATGTGACATATTAGGTGGCAATTTAACCAAATTTATTCTCTTTCATTATTTTACATTTTTTACTCTTTTTTAAAAAATGATATGGAGTAATTACTTATTTTGAACCCATAAATTCAAATTTAGAATTAAAATTATTTTCCGTGTAAATTATAACTTTTAATAAAATATCATTTTTTTCAAAACTCTACGTACAAATATTTTAATACATGTCTCGAATTCGTTAAATCATTAAATTTTCAAAAAAATTTTATACTAATAAATAAAATACACTCCTCACCCATAAATAAATTTTATATTTATTCATTATACATTTACATGATATCCCTTTGATTGTATTTATTTAAATATTGACACCTATTAAATAAAATACTTCCTTTACCTATAAATAAATTTTATATTTTTATGACACTTAAGGTATCACTTAATTTACAATATAGAAAATGTAGGGGTGTAAACAGATATTAATCGGATCGGATGTGCAATTGAGTTTTAAATGAAATCAAATATTCGAGAATCTCAAGCCATAAAATAGTTTTGAAAAAAAGGGCCACCAATTATATATGCTATTGAGAAACATTGAACGAATATCTGAATTGCATGATGACAGACTAATCGTTAAAAAGCTACAAAATAATGTTTTCAGTGCAATTGTGGTTTCAAAAAAATGAGTCGAGAAAAAAGGTTTACATAACTAGAATGACTTTCGTACCATCTGATCCACGATTACTCTTAAAGTTTTAGAAAAGACAATTTCCAATGTTTTATGTTTTGCTACGACTTTTAACAAAGTCGAAGTCAAAGTCAAACATTATCATTTGTTGGATTATTTTTAATCAATTCGGTGTTCACTTATGACCAACTTTGCGGTGCTGTTTCACGAGTAAAAGGAAAGGCGAAATTAAGAATATTAATTCTAAATGATAACGAAAATCCTTGCAACTACACCAACGGGAGTGGTTGGCAGTGATAATGGTAGCGAGTGACGAAGAATGATCAATACTTGAGAGAGATATCAAACCCCCATATTGATATCTCCCAAATTCGGGAGATACTGAGACCATCAATTTTAAAGATTTATGATATCTGCATATATTAAATTTGATAACTCTTTTAGCTTCACCAAACACCAGAAAAGGATAAGGATATCTAGAGATATCAAAATTCAAAACTCATATTTTTTTTTGCTCACCAAACACACTTTTAGAAGTTTTGTAATAATTGAATAGAAAATTATACATAATTAGAAAATAATTATTATAAAAATGAATATCTATATTCTCTTCCGTAATTAATTGTACCGAAGGACTTCATACAATATTATTAACTTCTTACTTTCTATAATATATTTTACGTGTCAGAAATGTCTCTTAAACAATATCACATCTCTGCTTCTTAAAGATTAAAATATCAATTTTATAAATAAAGGATCAATTATAAACATATTTGATCCTTTTCTATAAGAATACTCTTAAATGAGAATATATCATTATCAAAATTTTGTTTTTTGTGTATGCACTTAGTTAAAAATTT